TATTAAGTAATTTTTATGCACGTGACCAAATCAATTCGCTCATGGTTCGAGAGGTATGGCGTATTTAGACCCTAGAGAACCCATAGTCTTGTATTCATACACTCATTAATAATATTGAAATGCTATTCGTAGTGCAACTTTTACCACATTGCAGTGCACTTTTAGTTCATTTGTATCTTATTTCAAAAAAGTGCAAAGTCCTCTATAACTCTCCCAAATACTCTTCGAATTCCCGCGAATTAAACGAGCAATCCGACAACGATTTGAGGTAAAACTCAAACTCCATTTTATCAATCCAATGTTTCATAGTTGTCTATTAAAAAAATGCATCAATTATCAGCGCGTTTTCATCGATTCAGATGGCACTGAAAAATCACAGATAATAAGGACTAGAAAGAAAAATATTATTCAAGATTGCTGTCAAGATAAATTTAAAGAACTGCATAAAAGTTTTCCTACCATTTTCATTTGAAACGTAATTTATATATGAACCAATGTGTATTATAACGGATTTCTTCCCATTTATTGTTAACACATGAAAAATGAATACTAATTATTAACTCTCTAGTTGTGTTTTGGATATTTATTTTATATTTGAAAATAAGGCATATATAGTTAGTTTATAAATTTTATAGGTACTTCATGCATTAACTTTTTTTTGCGGCGAGACTTATATAGAAAAAAAATTATATTTTCACCTTGGGTTATAATTCTATATATTCAAACAATTAGCCGGAAATGTGTCATGACTCCTAACCAACAACTAGTTGAAAATCAACATACACATTTGGTTATTCAATTAAAAACATAATTGCCGAAATCATAAATGATTAGAAATATAAATATATTATAAAAATGTTGAATTTTTGGTTGAAACTGTATTAGCTCTACGATATAATTGAGGAATCAAGCTAGAATGTATGTTTCGTCCTACCTTCATAGATAAATTATAAGTTTTGGGTTGTCTGAACCAGGGTCCATTGTGTTTCTATGTATATATTTTATTACCATAATATTTTGCAAATTTCGGACATATTTTCTTGTTGTTCATAATGCTTGTTGTATACGAGAATCCAATATCTGTAAAAAGTAACATAATATTACATCTTCTTGAATGAATAACATAAATCCAGTCATATTCACAAATGCATTTATGGTATTTTATTATAATTCACTTACTCCTAAAAGCAAACAATTAGAGAATTTTTTTAATTCGACAACATTTTCACTCATGAAAAGAAAAGCAATATACTTGTTTTTTATGGTACAAGCAAATTTTATTTTTCCCAAATTTTCTCCTACCTTCACCACTAATGACAAATTTTCACCGCCCTAATTTGCCATTGTGGACGCATTCCAAAACACCTTAACATATCTATATTTATTGAATGCACATTTGCCTTTTCACTTCACATTTCATACAAAATATCTAAGAAGCATATAGTGAATTAGTGTGTGCCACTTGAGTGTCAAGATATACATTCACAAATAAAATTTGAAATAAATCATAAAGATGGAGATTGGAGGAAACTCAAATACCCAACATAAGGATACCACAAGAGCATCTGCATCCGCATCAGGTAAAAGTTGCACAAAAATAATTTGCTGTCATTTTTATTTTTGAATTAGATAAAATCATTATGAACAATTTTAATTTGATTTTCAGTTGTACTAACATAACAATCTAACATTCATGCTCTTAACGTAACTTTTTAGATCTGTTGTTTTATAATTATTTTATATAAGTATGATTTAAGTTTACAGATCTTTTAGACACCTCATATAGAGATTGTTGTTTGAATTAAGTAAAAAATATATTTTTGTCGGCTTTCGTATATAATTCTATTTTGATTACTTTTATATTTGTCAAGTAACATTCTTTGATTAACTCATGTTTTGACGGCGCACGACACGCGTTAATTTACTTTATTTGATTCTGAGTTTATATACTTGACTCACTATTTTTCCTTTTATTTTTACCTTTTTGCACGATATGTCTTAAGTAGAAACGTCACAAAAAATAATCGTGTTTTTTTCCAAAAATCTTAAATCAAGATGGCGTTCATGATGCAGACAAAACGGTTGTGAATGAAAAAGGGGGACAAGACAATCATAAAAAAAATATTTTAAGTAAATATGGATACTAGGTTGCATCTTATGGATTTTATTTATACATGTCACGTATATAAATATCCATGAGGTGTATTGGTAAAAACAAAATGTGAGATGATATATACTTGAAGTGTAATAGAAGAATAATAGTTTGAAACATTAATTGTATATATAAATGCAAAAAATGAGAGTACATAAGCATGGATGTCATTATTTTTTTGTTGTTGAAACGAATTAAATGCAATAAATTAGGGGTCATATTTGCTTTTTCCATAGTTGGCATACCATTACTTGGTTTTTTTATAAATATATGAAGAAAATAAAAATTGGTCCGAAAATGTAACCAAACATTTCGTCAATTTTAAACATTATGTTTTCTTTACTTCATATGCTTTTAAATAAAAATATATAATTCATTCATTTCAGGCACAATCGACCCAAATTCAGTAGCCCCCAACCTCCCCACATCAAATGTCGGCGATCAGAATCAGGCGCCACCGCAAGACTTCAGACGGGAGACGGATCTATATATGCCGATGACCAACATCGTCCGAGTCCTACGTAGGGCGCTCCCGCCCCATGCAAAAATTTCCGACGATGCGAAGGAGATTATTCAAGAGCGTGTCTCAGAGTTCATCTCCATTGTAACTAGTGAGGCCAATGAGAAGGCCCACCGCGAGTACAGAAAAACCATCCACCCAGAAGATGTAATCGCCGCCATGTCCTCACTTGGGTTCGATGACTACGTGGAGCCCCTGACAGTTTATCTGAATAAATATCGGGCTGAGGATCCGGAGCGCGGGGCCTCGATGCAGATTCAATTGCCGATGGCCATTCCCAGCGGCGCCCAGCAACCGCCAGCTGCTGTAGTAGCTCCACCAGTTCCACCACCACCTCCGGCGCCGCTAGTGGTAATGGGTGATGGGATGGTGATAGTTGATGACGACGAAGTAGTGGGCCCCGATGAGTATATTGGGTTCGACGAAGTTATTAGGAAGTACTTTTTGAATGATTAGGGTGGTGGTGGCAGAGAATGCTCTCCTAGCAGTGGTGGCGATTGAACCGTTCAGGCTTGTTCAACAAGGTTTTTCTTTCTAATTAAATAGAAATGTTATGGTTTCCAGTGGTTGTTGCGTAATGCATTTGGATCATTTTAAATTTACAATTTATTTTGATCAAACCTATTATTTTTAGAAATAATCAACATTCTATTATTTAACTACGACAATGAGATTTTAACTTTTATATTATTATTATTTATTAAATCTATTTTGTATATATTGTATGTGCATCAATGAATAGAATACTAGGGTTGTTCTAGCTCTGCACCTAAAAAGAATATACAAAATTAATTATTAAGTAATTTTTATGCACATGACCAAATCAATTCGCTTATGACCAAATCAATTCGCTTATGGTTCGAGAGGTATGGCGTTTTTAGACCCTAGAGAACCCATAGTCTTGTATTCATACACTCATTAATAACATTGAAATGCTATTCATAGTGCAACTTTTACCACATTGCAGTGCACTTTTAGTTCATTTATATCTTAAATCAAAAAAGTGCAAAGTCCTCTCAAACTGTCCCAAATACTCTTCGAATTACCGCGAATTAAAGGAGCAATCCGACAACGATTTGAGGTAAAACTCAAACTCCATTTTATCAATCCAATGTTTCATAGTTGTCTACTAAAAAAATGCATCAATTATCAGCGCGTTTTCATCGATTCAGATGGCACTGAAAAATCACAGATAATAATGACTAGAAGGAAAAATAATATTCAAGATGGCTGTCAAGATAAATTTAAAGAACTGCATAAAAGTTTTCCTACCATTTTCATTTGAAACGTAATTTATATATGAACCAATGTGTATTATAATGGATTTCTTCCCATTTATTGTTAACACATGAAAAATGAATACTAATTATTAACTCTCTAGTTGTGTTTTGGATATTTATTTTATATTTGAAAATAAGGCATATATAGTTAATATATAAATTGTATAGGTACTTCATGCATTAATTTTTTTTTTGCGGCGAGACTTATATAGAAAAAAAATTACATTTTCACCTTGGGTTATAATTCTATATATTCAAACAATTAGCCGGAAATGTGTCATGACTCCTAACCAACAGCTAGTTGAAAATCAACATACACATTAGGTTATTCAATTAAAAACATAATTGCCGAAATCATAAATGATTAGAAATATAAATATATTATAAAAATGTTGAATTTTTGGTTGAAACTGTATTAGCTCTACTATATAATTGAGGAATCAAGCTAGAATGTAAGTTTCGTCCTACCTTCATAGATAAATTATAAGTTTTAAGTTGTCTGAACCAGGGTCAATTGTGTTGCTATGTATATATTGTATTACCATAATATTTTGCAAATTTCGGACATATTTCTTGTTGTTCATAAAGCTCGTTGTATACGAGAATCCAATATTTTTAAAAATTAACCTAATATTACATCTTCTTGACTGGATAACATAAATCTAGTCATATTCACAAACGCATTTATGGTATGTTATTATAATTCACTTACTCCTAAAAGCAAACAATTATAGCAATTTTTCAATTCAACAACATTTTCACTCATCAAAAGAAAAGCAATATACTTGTTTTTGACGGTACAAGCAAATTTTATATTCCCAAATTTACCCCTACCTTCATCAACCACTAATGACAAATTTTCACCGCCCTAATTTGCCATTGTGGACGCATTCCCAAACCCTAAACATATCTATATATATTGAATGCACATTTGCCTTTTCACTTCACATTTCATACAAAATATCTAAGAAGCATATAGTGAATTAGTGTGTGCAATTTGAGTGTGAAGGTAGACATTCACAAATAAAATTTGAAATAAATCATAAAGATGGAGATTGGAGGAAACTCAAATGCCCAACATAAGGATACCACAGGAGCATCTGCTTCCGCATCAGGTAAAAGTTGCACAAAACAAATTTGCTATCATTTTTATTTTTGAATTAGATAAAATCTCTATGAACAATTTTAATTTGATTTTCTGTTGTACTAGCAATCTAACATTCATGCTCTTAATTTAACTTTTTGGATCTGTTGTTTTATTATTATTTTATCAAAGTATGATTTAAGTTTACAGATCTTTTAGATATCTCATATAGAGATTGTTGTTTGAATTAAGTAAAAATTATATTATTGTCGGCTTTCGTATATGATTCTATTTTGATTACTTTTATATTTGTCAAGTAACATACTTTGATTAACTCTTGTTTTGACGACGCACGACACGCGTTAAATTACTTTATTTGATTCTGGGTTTATATACTTGACTTACTATTTTTTCTTTTATTTTTACCTTTTTGCACGATATATCTTAAGTAGAAATGTCACAAAAAATAATCGTATTTTTTTCCGTAAAACTTAAATCAAGATGGCGTTCATGATGCAGACAAAAGGGTTGGGATTGAACAAAATGGGACAAGTCAATAATAAAAAAAATCTTTTAAGTAAAATTGGATACTATATTGCATCTTATGGATTTTATTTATACATGTCACGTATATACATATCCATGAGGTGTATTAGATAAAAAAAATGTGAGATGATATATACTTGAAGTGTAATAGAAGAATAAAAGTTTGAAAGATTAATTGTATAAATAAATGCAAAAAAGGAGAGTAAATAAACATGGTTGTCATTATTTTTTTGTTGTTGAAACGAATTAAATGCAATAAATTAGGGGTTATATTTGCTTTTTCCATAGTTGGTATACCATTACTTCGTTTTTTATAAATATATGAAGAAAATAAAAATTGGTCCGAAAATGTAACCAAACATTTCGTCAATTTTAAACATTATGTTTTCTTTACTTCATATGCTTTTAAATAAAAATATACAATTCATTCATTTCAGGCACAATCGACCCAAATTCAGTAGCCCCCAACCTCCCCACATCAAATGTCGGCGATCAGAATCAGGCGCCACCGCAAGACTTCAGACGGGAGACGGATCTATATATGCCGATGACCAACATCGTCCGAGTCCTACGTAGGGCGCTCCCGCCCCATGCAAAAATTTCCGACGATGCGAAGGAGATTATTCAAGAGTGTGTCTCAGAGTTCATCTCCATTGTAACTAGTGAGGCCAATGAGAAGGCCCACCGCGAGTACAGAAAAACCATCCACCCAGAAGATGTAATCGCCGCCATGTCCTCACTTGGGTTCGATGACTACGTGGAGCCCCTGACAGTTTATCTGAATAAATATCGGGCTGAGGATCCGGAGCGCGGGGCCTCGATGCAGATTCAATTGCCGATGGCCGTGCCCAGCGGCGCCCAGCAACCGCCAGCTGCTGTAGTAGCTCCACCAGTTCCACCACCACCTCTGGCGCCACTAGTGGTAATGGGTGATGGGATGGTGATAGTTGATGACGACGAAGTAGTGGGCCCCGATGAGTATATTGGGTTCGACGAAGTTATTAGGAAGTACTTTTTGAATGATTAGGGTGGTGGTGGCAGAGAATGCTCTCCTAGCAGTGGTGGCGATTGAACCGTTCAGGCTTGTTCAACAAGGTTTTTCTTTCTAATTAAATAGAAATGTTATGGTTTCCAGTGGTTGTTGCGTAATGCATTTGGATCATTTTAAATTTACAATTTATTTTGATCAAACCTATTATTTTTAGAAATAATCAACATTCTATTATTTAACTACGACAATGAGATTTTAACTTTTATATTATTATTTATTAAATCTATTTTGTATATATTGTATGTGCATCAATGAATAGAATACTAGGGTTGTTCTAGCTGTGCACCTAAAAAAAATATACAAAATTTATTATTAAGTATTTTTTATGCACATGAACAAATCAATTCGCTTATGGTTCGAGAGGTATGGCGTTTTTAGACCCTAGAGAACCCATAGGCTTGTATTCATACACTCATTAATAATATTGAAATGCTATTCATAGTGCAACTTTTACCACATTGCAGTGCACTTTTAGTTCATTTGTATCTTATCTATACTACTTATAAAAGTATGAATAGATAGGAGTTTCTTCCATTTTTTGTAGGTTCAAAATTGCCCTCAATAAATAGCATTTGGATATAGGATTTGAAGGGCAATTAAGTAATTCAATGAATGTTTATCAAAATAAAAATTAAAAAAATTAATTCGATTAATATAAATTAATGAAAATAATGAATTTTTAGATATTCATAATATTTATAAAACACAAATTATCTCACGCCAATTTTAAGAATTTATGTTTTTCAAAATTTCCTATTAATATGTAAGCTATTATTTGGTACTTAATCTCATTAATTTGATTCCAAGAAAAACGTCCTAATAAGAAATTGAAAGGACTGTGAGTTATCAAGGGCATTTAAAGGTTAAATTAATTTTGCCTTCATCTTGTGACTCTTCGTAAGTGACCTGATGCACCTAAAACCATATTTCTCAAAACCATCTCTCGGTTATATTATCAGACACTATTTCAGCACTTATTTAGAAATATCCTATAGCAAAAAAAAACACAACGTGAAATTTGAGTTTTATTGTTTTTTTTTTCCTTCTTCTTTTTGCAATTACTGATTTTACTCTCGAGACAGTACTTAGTAGAGGTTTGGCTGAAAGGATCAAAAACCAGGCTTGAATGACGGTAAGTATATGCTTCAAATAATTAACGGTGATGGGACAGTTTGAAGCAAACCAAAATGTTTTCAACCAACCTCCATTTTATATATATGTAGATGATTAGCTTACATGGTATTTTTAATTATGGGTATAACTGGTATGTGTCATTATAAGTTATCTACTTTTTATTTTCATTTTGATTTTTAATCCCTTTATGTAAATTGATTAATCACGTAATTTTTTTACTTCGAGTAGTAAAAGTAGGAGACATGTCTAATATATTTATTAAACATATAGGAAGATACATGCATGATACTTTAACAAAAAGGTTCTATATTTTTGGTTTCTACACTACAATGATATATTTTAAATAGAGAAAAATTCATATGATGAAAAGGAAATATACAATATAAATGAGGGTAAAAAATAACTATATTGATATTTGAAAATGTAGGTTAAGTTAAAATAGCAACACTTAAATTTCTTTGGTAAATAAAACGTACGATGAAATCTTGTCAAAAGACTTCATAAGGCAGGTTGGGAATTAGTTCTTTTTCCGCATATATTTTATATTACCTTATGGCATGTCTTGATGACGAGTTGAAATAATATGCTACTACATATACATGCTTCAATAATGCGTGCTCACCAAAAATCCAGGTATGTTTATAGCCGTTATTTATAATTTCAATCCTTACAAAAATATTTTGGTATATCATATATATAACTCAGGGGGTTAATTGAAGTTTTGATAGTTCAACGGAAGTAATCGAAAGTTTTCTATTAGTATATGAGATGTAAATGAAATTAGGCAAAAACTTAATTAGTAGTAATAGTATAAGTAGGAGCAAAACTTTTCGACTATAATTAATATTCATGATATGGATAGTAGATAATCATATATCTATATGAACGATCAACTAGCACAACTATATTTATCATTAAAATATTTTTTTGATTAAAATATACTGGCTATCTTTACTTATTTTGTTAATTCAATTTATCATCTCAATATTATTTATTTTAAATATAAATTATCATTAAATTTTCGAGTCAAAAAAAATTTTGTACTACACATTTTTTCAATTATCTTTTATTAGAAAACCTTTACAATGATATTTAGCATTTAAATATTTACATCTCAAAACAGTTTTGAGATGATTTTTTCAGAAAATTGAGCCTAGAAAAAAAAACGAGTACAAATTAAAAGAGAAAAAAGCATTACATAAGCTTCCTTTTTCAGGGATGCAAAATTACACGGAGTATTAGAGCAATTATTTCCTACATTAACGAATATCCAACATGTTATGACGTTACTTGCAACTTATTTGACGTTACTTGATTATAATTATTTCCTATTTTCCCTCACTTTAATTATAATTATGTGCTTAATTATATGTTTTTTTGTTTTTTTTTACAGAAATGTATGATTTATGAGAATCAGATTGGATGAAAAAGAATTGTGTACATTGAGGTCTACTTTGACCAATATTCACTATCCACTACAACAAAAAAACATCTATTAGGACACTTTTCTTAGGGCAGTTTTTTATAAATGTCCCAAAATTAAGTTGTTAGGGCACTAGTTATATAGTATCCCGTTAATAATATTTATTAGGACATTTTTAATTAATCAATAATTTATATTATTTGAAAACATTAAAAAGGCTGAGATATTACTTTTTGGTAAAGTAGGGTATGACTATAGCTTTGTTGAGAAAGAAATCACTTGAAATTAATATTAGGGGAAATAGCACTTGAACCCATGTAGTTAGAATTTTTTTTTTTTGCAAATGACCCTCTTGTGGTTGATAGGGATAATTTCCGTTAGTTTTTTGGTCAAAATTAATTATGCGTATTAAAGACATTAATGCCATATTTTTGCAGATGACCCTCTTATGCTTACAACTTTCTTTAATTTTTGCAGATAAAACCCCTTGAAGTTTGATAGCACGATTAAGTTTGACAGGAAACCCAATAGACGTTACATCTATCAAGCACACGGGGGGGGGGGGGGGGGGGGGGGGGGGCCCCTCCCAAAAAAATGAGCACAAAAGAGGTCATTTCTAACCATATGTGGTTTAAGTGCTATTTACTCTTAATATTATTCATAATGATAAAATGTTAAAAGATAATATCGAGCATATTTTAAATGGTTTGATCTAAAAGAACATTTTTTTTCTTTATAACTTGATGTACATATGTTAGTAGAATCATTCATAAATAGAAATATTTTGTTTGTGTAAATTAGATTATGGATATTTTAGTTTTAAATTTAAAAAGCTAATCTTTTGTTCATATGTTTGAGTAGTATTCTACTAAATTATAATAAATTTCTGACAATCTTTTAGAAAGTTTTGAATTGCAAGATAATATATTCTGAAAAGTTTTGCTCCGGTGGTGGCATGATGTTTGAAGTAGTAGGTCATGTTTATTTCATTTTTAAGGTGGTATATGAAAACTTTTAAACTAAAATCTCGAGTTGAGTTCACGCTATGTACTTAAGATATTTTAATATTTCTTTGTACTGTTATATTATGATAAATATAATAATTCAAAATATAAAACAAACAAATAATTAACTATACACGTGCAACACACGTGCACCTGCCTAGTACCAACAAAAATAACAAAGTATAAAATATCTTAATATAAGAATCACATCACCTCACAACTAGAGTCGTACATTAAAAAAATTCAAGAACATTAACCTTGATACATCCTAACAATGTAAACTAAATAAATTTCAATAAAGGGGCATAAATCATGGGAATAATTTCCAAACATATATGTAGTCATGTAAAAAGAATCCTAACAAGAGCCATCAAAGCATTTGTACTTTGTCCATATCCTTTCCTTCTACACCTTCAGTTTTTTACCTCCTTGGGCAGTTTATGTCCTGCAAATAATCATATGAAAATAATCAAAAGATAAACATACATAACAAATTAAATTTAAAACATATATACTCAGAGTTCACACATCAAATGCAAAAAAAATGAGTAGTGATAATAAAATTGACTATGCACGTATTCTCACTATGAACAAAAGGTTAGCTTCTAGATTGACGGAAAAGTAGCCCTTTAATCTGGTTCAAGCTAAAGCTTCATTTCGATCAAGTCGTCATAGACAGAGTAAATTAAAAATTCAAAGAAGTGAAGAGAGGCATAATATCAACATAAGAGAAGTATGATTTTTATTATTAAACATAAGATACCTTAAGTAAACTTATTTTTCATGCTCATTCGCATATCAAAGTTTCAACTTTATTCTTCTTTGCATCTTCAAGCTCTTTCGACTTTGCAATGTTCAACTTCCATCCCTCGATTGTTTCTTCAACACATACTCCGGTACCATGACACTACATTTAAACAATAAAAAGAATCAATACCAACAATGTTTACACAAACCAATTACTAGATAAAAAGAATCGATTAATAATACCAATAATGTTACTTGTCCGTCTTTTGTTCTCGAGCTTACTCGACTCAATTACTAGATATTTGTTTTCTTGTAATAATAATAAAAACAATCAATACAATTCTAGAAAATCAAATTAGTCCAAGAATCAAGGTGTGTGCGTCTTTCTAATAGTTCTACCAACATCATTCCTCAATTGCAACTACAGAAATCAAGCAATTGTAATCATTCAAAGTATGGTGAACTAAAATAAACTACAATTAGCAAAGCTTATTAAAGGAACCCCTAGTATTGCAACATAAATCTCATTCTGAAATTATTATAAAGATAACAACTCAGAATATATTGATAAAAAACGACCAATTAACAGAGCGACACTGAAGAACACCCTAAATTGCCATCATTTTTTATCACAACCACCTAAAGATGATTATCAACATCTTTATTAA